GCATTTACAATTTATGCATGCACCCATCTTCCATGAAGATATGAGAAAGTTTCAGGCAGGACTGGGGTGGGGAAAGACTATATTTGAGATCACTTAATCCCATAGTCTTTTTCATAAAAGAAAAAAAAAAAAAAAGAATCACATAACAGGAAAGAACAACTGCAGAATGCTGAATAAGGTGAGCAATCGGTCACCTAACTGCACCTTGAATTTAATGCTGTCCAAACAGGCCATATTTACCTTGTAATTTTACATGTGTAAATAAATGCACAGCCAGAATCAGTACTGCCTCAGCTTGAGTACACACTCAATTTCTGAAGTAAACTGTAGCTTATAAAACTCAAGGCTTTTGCCTTTAGCTTACTTAGAAAAGGCTGATGAGTCAGGGCAGTCAAGGTTTCTGAGTCCACTTAAGCCTATGCATAATCAAGAAAGTTCCTGTTTTGTGGTATCTCTGGGCAGAATGTTATAGTTATATTTAACAAAGACAATAAACAAGCATAAACACTGAAATTACAATAATGCTAAAGGAACAGCAGGAACACATTTTCCCTCAGAAAACTTGACTGAAATAAGAACAAACTCAAGAGCTCCTTTAGCCTTTTTTACTTGGTTCTGTTAAAAAAAAAAATTATGTGCTCTCATTTTAGGTCTGTCTTCACCAAAGAAAACATGCAAGAGTAATATTGAAACTAACAGCAGTCAAAAGAATGGGTAAACTTTACACATAGCTACAAAATGCTTTAAGAAAATAAAAATGTTCTTTGCAAGAAGATTGGTATTAGAGACTAAGTTTTAGAGTTGCCATGATACCTAAATTTGTTTTGTTATATGGTCCTCTGGCTTCTTCATCAACATGAACTATTTTAAATAAAAATAGCTGTAATAAAAAATTCCCTTTTTTGAGCAATTTGATATCCTGCTGACTCTTTGCTTTTGCAACTTGAAGGGTCTTCACAAATGCTATCCCAGTTCATAGCTACATTTCTGGAAGTGACCGAATGGATTGCTGAAAAGCAGTACCACTCTTCACTTGAATAGATGATATCAAACCTTAAATCTTTCACCAACACTGTTCTCATTTTAAAAAATGCATTATTTATTTTGTGTCTTGATCAGTTGCTGCATGCTGCTGAACAGCTCTACCCTCTGCCCAGGTAGGGTCTTGTTAGCTCGGAAGCATTAAGTACCATGTATGCTACAAATGGGAACAGGTTTATGAGTAAAGAAAGCACACACGTGGTAACTGAGGCAAAGCCAGAACTCCAGTGAACTCATGACAACTCTTTCACCTTCACGGTACAGGAATGAAATACCTTTACAGAATGAAGCAACCACTAAGCAAGATTTTATTTATTCTGCTTTAAAGATAAAATGTCATTTTTTATTTTCTGTGCAGCTATTTTTCAGGAGATGTTTTGTTTTTTGTTTTTTGTTTTTTTACATGATCTAAAAGAGAATTAAGTGAGATTTTAAGAAATACACAGAACAAGAATGGAGAAGTAAATACCACAAAACTCAGAGCCCTATCAA